GGATCTGGACTAGAATTTTTCGGCCGAATCTAGGCCTGACCTGGCCCAGATTGAGAAATGATAGAATTTGTTGTATACATCCGAGTATATCATACACCCAAAGTACCCAACTAAACTAAGTTTAGTTTTTGCTCTTCATTTGATGATAAATTGAAATATAATCATCAAAGTGAAAACAAATATCTATGGGTGTATGGTACACTCTGCCATTCTGGTGTATATAACAACCTGTCGAAAAATGGACTGATTTTTTAAGACTCGTCTGGACGCCCATTCATCCGGTCTAACCGTTCACCCGCCTAAGTTCCTAACCCTCCAACATGAATCCGCAACGTCCACTTCTCCACGGACCACGGCCCACATTTTCAAACCTTCCCTCCCAAACCAATAAATCCAAAAAAAAAAAATCAACATTTCAAAAATATATGCCATCTTTCTCATTTTCAATTTCTTTCCATAACTCAACGTTACAAAATCTCTTCCTATCCTCCAATTATTACAACAACATTAATTCATTCCTTCATTCAAATTCAATTCAACCACATTTTCGCTTCAATTCATGGAAGCCGCCGCCGAAACAGAGGCGGCTTTCAAGCCGGCTCATTTGGTGTCTTTCTCTCCAACACCCTCTTCAACACTCAACAATCGGCGTCTCTCAAGCCAATTCTCCAAGCCGAGTAGCCCAATTCGAGCCGGCTCAACAAAGAAGAAGACTTTGGCTTGGGTTTCTCTTCAAGGTCGGCTTGTTGGAGCCGATGAAGCTACCTCGGCTCAAGCCATTGGCGGCGGCTTAAGCCGAGAGGAAGCCGTTGGGTGGGAGCTCTTTAGCCCTATTCATCGTGTTCTTATTGTTGCTGTTGTTGCTGTTGCTGCTGCTAAATGTGAGAAGAATCGCCAGATTTTTCAACTCAGAAAATGTGTTCAACTCAGGGTTTGTAAAAATTCTCCCTTTTCTTTTTAATCACATTTGATTTTTTGAATTTGTAATGATTTTATGATTGTTTTTTATGTGGGGTTTTTAATTCTGAGTTCGGTTTTAAAAAAAAAAATTAAAAAAAATTTGGTGGGTCTTAGGGATAATTATTGACTTCTGTAAAGATTATGTAAGGGTTTTGGAATTTGTAAATTTTAAATTAATTGAAAGTGAAAAGTGATTAATTGGATGATAAAGATGATGATGATGATATTGATGTTTAAAAGTTGGTAGCTTTAACAAGTACAATTGTTTGTAGACCCGCTTTGTTGGCTTCTTTTGTCATAGGAGAACTATACATTGTGAGCCAATTTACCCAAATGAGATTGAAAGTGAAAAGTGATCTCTTTTAGCATGTTTGTGAGCCAATTTACGCGAATGAGATTGACTTATACTCTTAATACCCGAATTTTGAGTTTACAATTGATTTAGTGACTGTGAGTCTGTGAATTACATGATCAAGCATCCTGAGTTTTTGGTTTACAATTGATTCAGTGACTGTGAGTCTGTGAATTACATGATCAAGCATGGTGTTATGTGATACCCGAGTTTTTGGTTTACTATTATGACATGCCAAATTCTTTAGCTGCATTCTTAAATTTTGAATCAGTAAATGTGACTGTGATTGAAGTAATAGGGGAATAGGGAGTGCATTCTTTCGATTTTTGAGTGTTACTGAAAATTTCATGTGGAGTTTACTGATCAGTGTGTTTTTAATTCTCTTGCAGGATGATATATTGATGAGCATGCAGCAAAAGCTTGATGATTTGTGTGAGCAAATGAATTCTATGAAAGATCAGCCTCAAGCAATAGTTGATTCTTCAGCATCCAAGATAATGGAATTTTCGTCTAGAAGATCATCTTTGGCCAGCAAATCTGACTCTATGTGCACAGACTGCTGGTTCTGTGATCAACGCCGAGCTGAGTTGAATGATGTTTCTGTGAGACTCTATTATTTGCCCGTTTTGTTACAAAGTACTTCCTAGTGGTAATTCACTTCATGCACTATATACACACACAAACAAAGAAAATGATAGGTTAAGGAAACAGAAATTTGTGTTCTTTAGACATGTTAGAAGCTGAATTTGACATGCTTGTAATGTACCAGGGAAATTCACTTGTGAAAGCTGCTAGTTGTGACGAGATGTTTAAAAATAGACTCTCTATTTCTAATGAAGCAGAACAGGAGGAACGTCGTATGTCAGATTTGTCTGATTGGGCTTCAAGTGTCACTTCAGTGGCAGATTTACAAGTAATGAATTAACCGTAGTTTCTATATTTTTGCTATATATATATGCATCTGTTTTGAGCAAAGGATAACTTGTTTATTTATTTTTGCCTCGAGCAAAACGTACACTGAATGTCGATGTTGGGTGTGGTTTTCAGCTGAATAACTTAGCAATAGAGCAAGATACTTATAATCTTAAGAGGGAATGTGAAGAAAAGGATGCTGCTATAAAGGACTTTTCTTCTTTTATTCGTTCAAAGATGTTGTCACTTCTAAAGTAAGATATGCCTTACTATTTGTCTGTTTTTCTTTAATTTATGAAACGAGGATGGTTCAGTAAAGACACTTTCCTTTTCTTGACAGAGAATTGAGAACTTGAAGAGGTTATTCGTCGAAATGCACAATTATTACTAAGTTGAAAAAGGACTTGATTGTTCTGGAACAGAAGGTAAGACCTCTTTGCTGTAACAACTTCAATCGTTTTCAACTCTTTTTTCTCTAATAAGTTGCCAAATTCTGCCTGCAATAAGTTTTTATTTCCTACTTCCTTAATCAAGCAATATTAAGTCTACAACTCAAATGAAGGAGTATTAACATTCAACAATACTAAAGCGTTACATTGTACAGGTGGTGAACTTAACAAGAGCAAAAGGCGTCATTCTCTGGGCCGCTTGGATAAGAAACAGCTACCTACAATGTCAGATAATCTGCTTTATGATATGGATAGTCCTTATCTTCTGATTCAGACTGCACTCTGAGAAAAGCAGAATACCTCTTGTACTGTTGAAACTCGAGTAGTAGTAAAGGCCTCCACAAACACCCTCTTCAAAACAGCTCTTCTTCAAGTGAGAAACTGTCAAAGATAAACCAGAAACTGTCACTTGCAAAAGCCCCATCGCCTTCTACAATGCTTTCACTTCAGTCCCGAAATCCAGACCAGTGAGTCCCCTTAAGGAGAAATCGTTGAATCAAACTTATCATTCAGTAGCTTCTCCAATGCCAAACAAGGTGTCTGCTGGTGTAGGTTCGAAAACTAACAGAAGACGAACTCATAGTGGATCAAAGATGCAGTAGCTCACAGAAGCGATGGATGTAGTAATATCTTTCTTTTGTAAAGCTCCATATATTTTTTAGCATCATGCTGTTTTGAGAGGTGATTCGGTCTCCCCCTTGGAGGTTAAGGTTCGATTCTCATTGTCGGTTAACGTTGAGGCCTTAAGATATATAACCCTATAAGCGAGCTTTGCTTCAAGTAACATTACCGACTACTAGTGGTACTTGTTTGAATTTTTTTTGATACACTATAAAAATTTAACTCATTTTAACCAATTATGTAGGTATGATGTCCAATATTAGTATCAAATTCTGATGATGAAGAATCGACGGTACCTGAAGTGCAAAAATCCTTGGTGATAGCACATATATATGTAGGAACTTGAATGATAATTCTATGCTATAACACAGAAGAATGTGTTCTTATAACTTGACAATTATTGTAGAATTATCAATTATGTACTTAAAAGAGTAACTAAGGTCATATTATTATTAAGAATATATATATTCTTGTTCTTTGGCTACTTATTAGCATGTACGAAGTATATTACTACATACTGTTCATCTTCATCACCCAACGGGATAATAGAATAATAATCTTAAAAAAAAAAAAAAGTTACAAACAAATTTAGTGTTTTACAATATTCAATACATAATTGGAATCTTAAGTGAAACTTAGAATTAAAAAATTAACATAATACGAGAATCAATACACTATACACCTATTTTTATACGAGTAATACTTTATCATTTTACGTAATTCGTATGCCATGTATGAACATTTGTGAAATTTCCTTGCAACTATGGTACGCTTACAATGAAGTCTCGTCACCAGTATAATTATATACAAGTCTAAGTGTGTACCACATGACATTTCTTGACCCTCGAATAGTCATGTACTCGTGTAGGTTTAAAGAGGTGGCTAATGTATTTGACTCAAGCTCTAAGGAATCATCAACAAATATTTTAGTCAACTAACTTCGTTATATTAATGGAAGATGACTTGACAAGAAAAGTCCAATAACTATAAAAGTTTATATAGAAATTTTCAACACATTTCCTTTTTTATGTTCTTGAATTTTATATGGAGTACTTGTAAGTTGCATTGTACTTGTATTTAATTTGTCTTTGTCTTGTCACTCCCTTTATTTATCAATTTTAAAATATATTCTACCTCCAGATTTTTTTTTTTAGTTGTAACTTTGGGATATTATTTGAGAGATATAAAATATTCCAAAGTTACAACTTAAAAAATCAGAGATAATATATATATAATATTTTTGTCTTTTCTCACACTCAACAATCGTTTGCTCTTTCTTGTAGGTGAAGTTCTTTTAACAATTTCTTGCAATATTTTGAAACGGATCTAAGACCATGTTCTTTTCAATAAAATAAGTTTGAGTCAAATAAGCTTAATTAGATATACACATCTTGTGTATTTTAAATTAGTAGTTGAATTATCTTATTCCTACCATATGAGTTAGAATAGTCATTTTCCAAAAATATAGACTTGTAGACTTTGTAGTTTCTAGAAAATATTTGCTAATTTTGATGTCACCTTCAAAGCTAATTTAGCATAGATGCGTTACATGCGTATATTCTAAATAAGATTACAATAAACTTATTGATTTGAAATTGCGGATATGATGTGAACTTAAAGGATTCACGGCATTCACCGATAAGAAAGGTGAAATATTAGGTTAATGGCAATTTCAAAAGGCATAGAGAGATCCTAAAACACTAAAAATAGTTCATATACATAGGGAAAAAAAAATGAATTTGTATGAGTAATTTACAATGAATACTCCTATTATAAAATGAAATCTAGTCAACAATCTAAAAATCTACTACTACAACTTTTTTATTATTCCGTATTAAGGATGATTAAGGTAAACACCATGCATATAATTGGCTCATACAAGTGATCATACAACCTAATAACCTATCTATCCATTTAAATTTACTTTGTACTCTCTCCGTCCCCGATTGATAGTCACTTTTGAAGAAAAATCACGGGAATTAGGAAGAATTAAATAAAGTACATTGAAAAAGCAAATTTACATTAGTTATGCAAAAAAGTAGATAGAGAAGGTAAATAAAGTACATGGGAAAGTAAAATTAACATTGAAAAGTTAAATTTGCACAAATATTTTTGCAAATGTTAAAGAATTTTTGGTAAAAAAAAATAATATTAATGGTATTTGAAAAAAGCAAATATGACTAACATTTTGAGTTACCAAAAATAGTAAAAGTAACTATCAATCGGGACGGAGGAATACTTCATGTGACTTAATTTTGTAATTAATGTTGCATTAAAACCTTGAATCTACAACAAATTTTCTTAAAAAAAAAATACAAAAGGTGAAAAATATGATGTTATTAATTGATGTCACCTAAACTTCAACTCCTTTCTTGATGACAATAACCAAAGACTTTGAAAAGTCAATCCCGCGCAACTCCTTCTTACAAAACCCCTCCATTCTTTTACTCATTCACTCTTATCTCTCCTTTGATCCTCTCCTCAAAACTCAAACCCAAAAAAAAAAAATGTTGTTTGATCGAACAAGCTCATCAATATCATCATCAACTTCGACATCACGTAGTTGGTCGGGCTCGAACTCGAAAGTACTAGCAATCGAATGCATAAGAGGTACTCAAGAGCCGACGAATGGAGTGGAGGACTACTCCAAACCGGCGATATCGTTGAAGAGATCCAAGTTGGTGAATTGATCCTACGATCACCCTTTAAGGATGGTAACTCTGGTGTTCAGAAACATTTGCATAAGGGCTTTAAGAGCAAGGAAACTGCGGTTCGAGTTCGAGTTCGACGCGGTGAGTTTGACTCTGCTGTGTTGGTTGGTTGTATTGTTCCTGAAGGAAGGAAGAAGAAGCAACAGTATGTTTTTGAGAGCTATTGATGATCCTAATTATGCTGTTGCTTTTATTGATCGTTCTGAGACTGAGTGCTTACAATTACAAGGTAATGTATATAGGGATTTTTGTTTTTGTTGCGTTGACTTCTTTTTATCTAGATAATTTTTACTCTCTCCGTCTCTTTAAGATTGTCTCGTTTTCGAAAAGTTATTGCAAAGGACGATCTTGGAAAACATGTTTAGGAAAGGTTGATTTTGATTTGTAGTTAATTGGTTTTTTAAGTCTAGCTGGGTGCTATGATTAAATAATTGAATTCATGTTCAAAGTTTTTGTCAGTCATAGATTTTAGGCTTAATTGTGAATTATTGATCATATTTTAATTATTAATTATTCTCAACTTGTTTGATTATATATGAATTTGATGAGTAAGAGTGACAATATTCATAACTGATAACAATTAGGCAATTAGCAGAACAATATAAAACAGGAATTATATATTTATATGAAATTAATTATGTGAGTTTTTAGGATGTACAGAGTATGTATTTGGAACATAAGAGTTTGCATTTCTCCTTTCCAAATTAATTGCAACGTTTGACTTTGCATGACTTGCAAGTCTTACTATATGTAATCTTAGTTAAATATCCCCGAAAATTTTCATCAAGATCACATTTTTTGAAGATGTTCCTCTTACTGTGTTCTATCACAATAGAGGTCAAAAAGTTCAAAATTAGACCGACTTTGACAAGTCAAATGTTGCATTCAATTTGAGTGTCTTCTTATCAAGTCCACTTGATAATTATTGGTAACGTTAATGTTGATATAGTAGGTAGTTAGTTATGTACGATTGTACTTCCTATGAAATTGAAAAGGACCTTTATCGAGTACACCAAATTTAGATGTTTGGCCTAATTTGAGTATGCGAACAAGATTCAATTCATCTGTACGTATGATCTGATACACGTTTCTTCCTCCTCGGTATTTTGTTATCTTGATCTCTAATCGCAGCTTCTAGGGACTCCAGGTTACATCACACGTTAAACAGCACTCAAATCGAGGATGGTTATGTAGCCTATCCATGGGAACGGAAGATGCAGACAACGCTACGAGTCCCAAATTCAAGCAGTTTTTTCTCCATCCTGTTCTTGCCAAAGGCTTCAGAAACAGGACGTGGGCGTTATAATGATGTGGAGGATACTCTTGCTAGAGCTAATGCATGGTTTAACGCGGCTCAGGCATCAGGGATCCCAATAACCTTAACAAACATTCAGACTGAATCATTACTTACGAAGGTACATTTTTACTCGAATATGCAGTTCAGTATGTTATATTATAGCCAACTGCTCGGTTATGT